TGCGTTTTGTCAAAATGTGTAAGCACTGAGCTTGTTCTTTTGAATGGTCGAAGGAAAAAAGTGTAATGCCTCGTAAATACATGTATAAGTTAAATAACATAATTAAACTTCAGCACAAGGGCAACGAGACCTTTGCTTTGTCCTCGCATTATTATCAATCATCAGCGTGACACTCTTGCTCTGTTTAGGTTTGCTTTTCGATCCAAACTCATATGATCATTTTAAGCGGGACTTGTGCTTCCACAGCTGTAAAAAATACACAATTTACACTGTACACAACAACATATTTCTATCATTTTAATCAACATTCAAATTCATATTTGTTAATAGATTTGTATTTGTATTAACATAATTTTGATTTGTAATTCATATCAACCATCACCTGAGAGCTGTCAGTCGATGACGATATTCTCTGAAGATGTATTTATTTCCAAATGCTCTTCCAATTTCAAACACAAGGAAGTCACACTTGGACGTGAAATGTAACCCCACACATCTAAATCCTCTCAGATCGCTTTGAAACCTTTTTCTCCTTCTGAACCGACCAAAAATCGTTTGCATTATTCCGTTTCCTCGAAGTCTTTTACTTTGGATCGCAGAAACATGTTTATTTACTGGTGTGCCTAATGGACTGTAAAGTGTTTGCACGTTTTCAGATGGTGACATTAACCTATATTATATGCCTATTCTTAGAGTTGAGTGGTAATGTTTAAAGTGAGGAGGAAAGGCATGAGTCAAACTAATATCTCTCCGCAAAGAGAAATGACTGAATCCTGAAGGACAGCTTGATGAATAGTTTGATAAATCGTGTGTATATTAAGTAACTCATTTTAAGATATAGGTCAGTAAAAATATGTAAACCACTCAAAATGTAATAAAGTATCTTCCATGTTGTTATCTTATCAATAGGCAACCGTTTTCAAGCCGAACAGTGAAATAAAAGCTACTACGGTTATACAATTATTAGCCTACAAACACACATTTGTTTGTCTTTACAACATGAACACAATCATAAATAATATTGACCAGCAGCACGTATAACTATACAATCTAAAATATCAGCTTCACGACGTCACACATTTCAGTTTGTCTCACACGGTTCACATCACTTTTGTCCAGGTGTCAAATGTTTTCATTTCCTTCATTTCATTTCAATTTTTTTAATTTGATTTCGGACAGGTCATAATTTTATGGCCGTATGTTTTAGATGTTTTCATATCATAAAAGCTGATAGGAGACATCCTGAAATAATTTGGTATATTCGTGTTATCTCTGTCCAGCTTCTCCTTGAAAACTGGCTCATCGACACTAAGAATTGTCTGAGAAACGGCTTCTGGATTTGTAGTATTAAATGCTTTGAAAGTCCAGGTGAAATTGTTCCGGTCTTCCCTGCAGAATACAGAAAATACAGCCACGGTCACTGGATTAGGAGGATTACGTAATTTAACAACACATTTTTTAATTCGATAGTAGGCAAGATGCTTTACCGGTAAAAAAAAAAAAAAAAAAGTATATATTTTATTTTTTTCAGAAATACTGCACATTTACATTTTTCTCCTAAATACATTCTGGTAAATAACATTTCTGGTAAATACTCCTTTAAAAAGTGTTTTTTA